ACTAATTGTTAACATCATTGGAGCAATAGAAACTGAGATAATTGCAAAAAACAGTTTTTCTTGACCTTTGACCTTGAATAACTTACGACGCAGACACGAGATTTTATGAGACTTTGAGACAACTTTTAGAACGCCAAAATTAAGGCGTATACAAGAATTCAGCTTATTGTCTCTCATTCCGAGGTTGATCCCTTTTTTATGCTAAAATGACTGGACTAAATATATTTATATGTACTTACATATAACATAATTTTGGATATTATATACAGGTAGATGCCTGTAATACTATAACACTTTTTAGGAACCTACTAAACATGACACATTTGGCTTAACAGGTTACATACATAGTGGGTTGCAGAAAAGTCTTATAGTGAAGCACCCTGTATGTTATACATACGGCGGTGGCTTCCAAATAGATTCGGAAAAAAAATCCTTTAATTGTCACACGGATTCAAAGTAATTAAATTGCTGCTCCAGTTTCAAGAAACAAATACGGAACATCTTGTTAAATATAAATGATGCGGCAATGATTTATTCAGTTTCCATTGTGACTAAATTTTTTCTTTGTTTTTGTTGTGTGTTGCTTAGATGAAAACCAATGGCACTGAATGAGGTGTAGATCTTGATATTTTTTCCCCTTAATTAGGACTAGATAAAAGAAATTACTTAAAATTTTCTCTACTTCGTGATCTTGTGGTTTTATTTTCCGAACTTATTTCAGAGTTACTCGATATATACACATAAAAATATTTTCTTTTTTTCTTATTTCAGGAACTGCTATTGTCCCAGATAGGTGGTAATGGGAAAAAGAACAATGTGGGGCGTATATTAAAAAAAAAAAATTAGCGAATTTGCTGTAGCTTGTTTGTTCGGTAGGAAAATTCCAAAATGGCTGGGACAAAAACAATGAATATTATGGAAGGTATTTTTTTTGCAATAAATATAATTATTACAATTTTTATTTTTGCAGAAATTACAATGAAGACCCATTCCGCAATAGAAAAAGAAGTAGAACAACGCTGCTCACAGTGGCTAAGGCATTCTAGTCAACGTCTGAAGAAAGAAAAAACAACGACAGTTTATAGTTTCTGTGTCTTTTTTTAAGTGTAAATTATATTGTATTATTTTCGAATTAGGAAATCATATATATATTTATATATTTATATTATGAATTTATATTAATTTTTGTATTTTATTACTTATTACATATTATATTTTTTCAAACATTGAATAAAATAATAATTTACTGTAAGCTCTAAATTTTACTCTCCATATCCATATCCCTAAATGGTAACTAGACTTTCTGAAATGCCTATTCATATCGCATAAATCATGTTAATAAAATATACTGAGAGTCATATGTTTACGATGTTGCGATATATACGTAACGTCTATGTCCATTTAATACGTTATATTGGCGTTTAAAATAAAACGTAACAGATACATCAAAATATAGAGAATCTAGCGACATACTAACACAACGTTATGATGATGTACCAGCGAGCACGTCTCTAGTCTGAAACAATGTGGATGTCACCAGTATGTTACAAGCATGGGTCACTGTTGATTACATTACATAGCACAGGGAAAGCAAATGTACGCAGTGTGGGATGTAACAGCTAACAAGATCGTAGACAGAGTTAACTGGCATTAACATCGCTACGACGTAACTGTGTTTACTGGGATCAATAGTATTCGTTGTGGTGAAGACAGAATTGTAGTAAAAAGATTAAAGGAAGAGATTAATATTGATGAAGCACAGAGTGCATTTGGAACAGGTAGGAGGTATATATATCGCCTTTCTTGATTTACAAAAGGCTTTTGACAGTATTCCAAGAAAAGTGGTCCAGGATAGTCTTAAGAAAAGAGGAGTAAACGAAACATTGACGAAATGCATTAGAAATGTATATAAAAAAAACAAGAAATGTGGTAGAATGGGAGGTTTGCAGACAAATGAATTCTTTACTAAAGATGGATTAAGGCAAGGTAGGGTATTAAGCCCAACGCTAATCAATGTGGTAATGGGTGATGTAATAAAACAATGCAAAGAGCAGGAGAAAAAGCATTGATAGTACGATATAGAAACATGGAGGTGGTAAATATTACAGAATATGTATTTGCGGACGATATCGTTATATTTGGAAAACATTGGTCGAGGGTTATTTCGACAGAACTTTCCTCGCCCCTGAAATACACTAAAACAACTCCAGCTTTCTTGAAAAGTTATAAAATTTGATTACGCGAATTTAATTTTTTTTTATGAGAACCTCCAGTAGTTAGAAAAGTTATGTAACGTTCCAAATGAGTTTTCCCTTAGCAAAATTTTGTAATGATATCATCAACATTTTTGCAAAGACACGTATAGCACTTTGGATAGGTGCAGTGTAGTACTAAAATACCAGTATTGGCGTTGATGTTGTTCCAGACGGCTACTCTTAGATCTGGTTTCATGTTAAGAGAAAGTGCGGATTTTGCGCAGAGTTTCGAGATGATGATCAGGAACACGTTGGGAGTGTCGGTAGACGAAGCAGTGGAAGAAGAGGAAGATCTCCCCGAGGACGGTGTTCCAGAAGAAGAAATTGGAAAAATCAAAGAGGATGTAGTGCATGACGAGTTGTAAATACCGTGGTGGTTTTGAATGATTATCAAAGACTGTCAAATTTTTTTTTATGTATTCATGAATCATGAATACATAAAAGGGTATATCGGATAATTCAAATGAAATTTGATCAAAGAGCCCTTTAGAAAAGTAAATGGTTTGTCTTTACTTGTCCCATATTATTATTTTAAATATATTTCGTATTTTGCTGTTTGCTTAAAAGTTGAGCACAAAGTTTAACTTTGGAAATATGTATGTTTAAAATAGACGTAGTTTAAAACATTTTTGGGTCAAGATAAAAGAAAACGGCAGTTAAGACTAATGCTATACAAGGAACCCAAAATAAGGATAAGGTGGCTAACGCACGTTCAGAGATTGCAAAACTACTGAATGACAAAAGTAGTGCTAAATGGAAAGCCAGTTGGGAAAAAAAAGGAGGACCACGAAGAAAATGACTCAATAGCGTCGCGGAAGATCTAAATAGGAAAAACATTACGATATGGAAAACAAATCTGAAAAAGAATGGTAAAAGAAGTTCTAGAGAAACTATAGTAAATGTATTAAAGTAGGCAAAAGATCATTAGGGTGGTTCTTGGACGTGGTATGTATTTTTAATATGACCGAATAGCAAAAAAACCCAAAGGAGACCGATCTGGGTATCTGAGGACCCCAAAATCAACCGAGATAAAAAAAAAAGATCAAAAGATCATAAAAATACATTTACTGACGGTAAACTCATATATTATGAAGTTGATGTTAATATTAAATATTCAAACATTGAATAATAATCACCTGGAGTTCCACAAGAAACTTATTAATAATAGAGACTTAATGTCCCATTGGTTTCTTTATCGTAACTCATATTTAATATACCGTAATGGCATATATATTTTTAAAATATTCACCTTCTACTTTAACAAACCGAGAATATACATAAATACATTTTCTAGGTATACGTTTAGTTTCAAACCTTTTATTCATTATTCAAATTATTTTTAACATTGATAGACAAATTCAAATGTACATAAGGATTATTGCTTAATTTGCTAATCTGCAAGTTATCTCAATTTTAATCCACTTAGTTCAACATTTATATATACGTTTAGTTTCAAACCTTTTATTCATTATTCAAATTATTTTTAACATTGATAGACAAATTCAAATGTACATAAGGATTATTGCTTAATTTGCTAATCTGCAAGTTATCTCAATTTTAATCCACTTAGTTCAACATTTTACCAGATTACGGATAATACAACAAAGAGATCTTGTCTTTACTCCAATTAAACAGACGTTCTTGATTCAAATTCTCTAGCCGCTCCTTTCGAAGCGGTCAAGTGCATGGTTCTTGGGGTCGTCTTCGATAATACAAAATCGATTCGGACGCTCATTTATTTGACTGAAAACACTAAATTATCTTGGCAATTATCGTCGCTGACGCACAATGGCCATTCATCTTGGGGAGGACACAGTTCGTCTCTGAAACATTTCCCTGGACCACGTCTTTATCTAGGAAAATCTCTAGGGAAAAGCCAGGACTTAGCGAACGGCTTTCGTGAGTGCCACTTGTCCCTCAAACTTTAAAGTTAACATTTTAAAGACTTTTTGCTGAAGTCGGGTGAATTAGGGATTCAGATTTTAAAAAATTCATGTGCAGTTCACAACAAACGAAAGAGAACGATGTTTGTTTAGTAAGTAATTGATCCTTTTGGATTTTTGATTATATTGCTGCTCGCTGCTTTGTTCAGTGCACATGAGAGATGAAGTTATTACACATTTATTAACTGTTGTAAACCAATCAATTATATTTAATGATGGTTTTTGTCGAACAAAGCAATTGTTTGTATTTAAATTTAATGAAACTATGCGAATGAAAACATGGTTGTTAATTAATTTTTCAGGCCACTAGATTTTTATAATGACACATCTATTTCAATGAACAATTTTTTTGTTATTAATTTTACAATATTTTGTGGTAAAAAATACAAACCATTCTTTTATTAAAAACCATACTGGGTGTTCCATTAAAAAAAAATAACAAAGCTGTTGTCATTCCTAGTGTTACCGGAAATGAAAATTTAAGAACGAATTACCTATTTTCAGGAATAAAAAACGCTGCATAATATGCATATAAAAATATAATTATTCAAACGACTAAATATTTCTGCTTTTTTTATGACATTACATTCAGTGAAATAAATTAGGTTAGGAGTTTTATAGTTGAGATTGTTTACAACAACTTTGGCCAGCTGTAACCATCTTTGGGCAGCGCTGTCAATATGTTCCCAATTTGCAATAGTATTGCGTCAAATTTCTTTATTATAAACAGCGATATATTCAGACGACCAAGTAAGGGACGCATTAAAATGTTTAATAATAATTAATAATAATCGGTACATACCAATGATGGTATCCGGAAAGGCAGTCTGGCTGGTCGGGTTCGTGGAAGCGGCGCTGGGAGGCGGCAGTGAGGGCGCCGAGCCAGTCCTCCATCTCGCGGCGAGACTCGGCGCACAGCACCAGGGATCTGAACGGGGTGATCACCTGGAAGAGAAAAACATCCACTTTTATTCGAGAAGAGTTTTTACTAAACTTTTATTGACGGGGCAGTGCTTTACGAGTTATTTCATTAGAGTCAACTTTGAAGTTGGTCGTTCCACTACATTGGAGTGTCGTTTTTGTTAGAGAAATGCCAAACATTTCTCAGTCATTGCCTTTTTTATCGCATCGAATTCTCCGGTCGGTCAGTCGATGGAACCCGCATTATGTAGAACTCAGCTTTTGGTTCTCACTATTCGTGTTGTCGCTCCAGCTACTCTGTTCCTCGAGGGAGTGTCTTTTAAAGTTTGTTATGTGTATTGTTAACTTTTTCATAAATAATCTCCAACTTCTGTATTAAAAAGTCGGAGAACTTCACATTCAGTAAACATCTCATTTTGTATTCATATATACGCAAAAACGGGATGGAATGTTATGCGAAGTATGTTTCTCGTGCATTTTTCTCCAAGTGTGTATAAAGCTGATTTTATCATTTTGGTTCGTACGGACGATTTTCTTCATCCAAGAAAAACACACTGTTTAAAAAAAAAAGATCCAGTTCACTATTTAGAAAAATTTGACAAGTAGCACAAGTAGCAGCCACTTCGGAAATTTTGGGTAGTTATTAAAAAAAATTGATATATACTCGTAGTTATGTAGACACAATGAACTTTTCTGGGCACTAAAGCAGAGAGACAGCGATACAGACAGACGACAGACAGACAAATAGACGACAGATATAAGCAAAACCTCATAAGACGCCCAGAAAATATGAAACATTTTGGTAGATCAGTCCAGCAGTTTTGGGTATTAGCTGTCTAATAAAATTGTCAACAGATAACGAACGACAGACAGACGGAAAATGGAGACCTACTTTTTCACATTCGAGGAGCTATGAGATGTCGGAACAATACTTCCAAGTTTACGCTAAGAAAATAAAAACAGCAAAATTTTAGACAATACAAACCGTTTTATGATATGTAGCAACACTTTAAGAACAATTCTTTTAATGCTGTGTGCAGTATACTGGACGCTTGATAAGCAATTCAGTAGGTGATCATGATGTATACTAGGTGCATACATTACCTTAGCTAGGGTCTTAAAAAAGGGTCAAAATACAATGGATGTGCAGGGAATTCTCAATTGAGACGAGGAATCCCTATGGACAGTCTGCTAATCCGACACAACATGACGTCTCTTTCTGCAAGGAGGGACATTAACTGTGCCAATTTCTTGGTAAAATTAATTTTCAACAAAGTTGATTGTTCCTACATTTTATCAACCATCGGGTTTAATGTGCCAAGATTGTCGTCAAGACATGTCAACACATTCTACATTTTTCCGTCAAGAACTAACGTTTTCCACCACTCTCCATCAAGAACTATGTGTAATTGTTTTAAAAAACTTATAGTGGAAGACATCTTTATGAGCCATCGTTAACTGTATTTTTCTTCTGCCTTGCTATAGTTATATATATATATATTTTTTTTCTATTTTTGTTGTTATTGTAGTTTTTCTTATTGAAATATGTATTAAGTTTTCTGTTTTTAATATTCTTAATTATTATTGTTGTCCTGTTATTAGGTTATCCTGTTGGACAATAAAGGATTTATTTATTTATTTATTTATCTGGGATATATCCTCTCGCCGTGAAGGAAGTTAGACACAAAGAGGTAATGAGTAGTGAAGGGACAGAAAGAAAGAAAAGGGATACAGAAGTAGAGTCGCCGAAAGAGTACGAGCAGGTCTTCCCAAGAAGCAAAATAACGGTAAGATCACCTCTGCAAACGATAAAGAAAAAAAATCTAGGAGATATAGAGATGGGGGAGGTCAAGAAGATGATCAGCGAACTTGCGATACAAATCAGAGATGATATGAGAGAAAGTAATAAACAATTATTAAAGGAATGGAATACACAGCTTAAACAGGAGCTTAAAACAATAAGAGAAGAATTAAAGCAAGCAAGAGATCCACTACAGGAGCAACATCAAGAAATTAGAGACAAGCATGAAGAGTGGAAGCGAGCTCAAGAAGAAATGGGATAGAGAGTAGGTGAAGTAAAAAGTCAACTAGATCGAATGGAGAGAGAAAAGAGAAGAAACAAAGTAGTGATGATGGGATTGGAAATAGGAACACGCGAGCAGACGCAGATAATTGAAAAGGTGACAAATTTTTTAGAAAAGAAAGCCGAAGTAGAGAGTAAAGTTAAAAGCGTGTACAAAATTGCAGAGAAAGTTTATGTAGTGGAATTCGAAAATAGAGAAGAGAAAATAAATGTAATGAAAAGCATGAAGAACTTAAAAGGGTCGTCAAAATAAAAGAAGAGGCAACAAAAGAGAGAAATAAAGGAAAAATGGTAAGAATGGGATATAAAAAGTTAACTGTAGATAACAGAAATTTTGAATGGAATGAAGAAGAGGGCAGGCTCAAGAAGGTAGAAAATTTTTAGTAAAGAGCCAAAAGAAAAGAAAGAAAAGGAGGAAAAAATGGAAAGAAACAAGGCAAAGGAAAAGGAAAAGGAATAAAAAATGTAGATAGGGAAATCGGAAAAAGGGAAGCTGGTACAGAATTACGAGAAAAAGGGGTGACGGTACTCTTTTGGAATGTCCAAGGGTTGCGAAATAAGGAAAAGGAGTTCTGAGACTACGTGGGAAAATTTGATATGGTGGGGCTAGTAGAGACATGGGTACAAAGAGAAAACTGGGAGAAATTTGAAGGGACACTACCACAAGAATATGTGTGGGAGTGTCAAGGGGCGACAAAGGAAAAGAAAAAGGGGAGAGCAAGCGGGGGAATAGTAATGGGAATTCGAAAAGAAATGCAAGAATTGGAAAAGGGAAGTAATAATAAAAACGGACTAATGAAGAAAGTAATACAGCTGGATACAGCAAGACTGGGCGATAAGGGGGCAAGAATAATAGATAAAGAAAAGGGAGAGAAAAGAGTATCAAAAGACAAACTAAATAACAAAGAAGGAAAAATATTGTGGAAGATAATAAAAGCAAAGGGATGGGAAATTTTGAATGGAAACAAGGAAGGAGATGAAGAAGGAGAATGGACGTACGTAGGGGCTAGGGGAGAATCAATTATAGACTATGGGATTGTTTCAAAGTGGGGAAAAGGGTAGAATCAGACCACATGCCACTAGAAATAAAAATCACAGGAAAAAGCAAGAGTATGAAAAACAAGAGAGAAGAAACGAAAGAAGAACAATAGAAAAAAGAATATGGGATGAAGAGGGAATTCAAAGATACAGAAGTAGACTAGAAAAAAGAAATTCGAAGGAAAAGAAGATATAGAAGCTATGATAGCAGAATTGATCAACTTAATTGTAGAAGCTACGGAAAAAAGAAAGATATACATATGGCAAGGGAGGAATAATGGATGGAACGGAGAATGTAGTGAGTTGAAGAGAAAAACAAGGGAAAAATTAAGAAAATGGAAGAATAACAGGGGAAGGAAAGAAGAGTACTTTGAAGAGAAGAAACGAGAAGAAGAAGAAAAGAAAACAATAGAGTCCCTGAAAACAGAAGAAAAAGTATAGAGATATATAAACCAAGAACGGAAAAGGAAGACTGAAGTCAGTTGGAAAATCAAAATACATGAATGGAAAAGACACTTTATAGAATTATTGGGGGGTTGTGAGGAAAAATGCTGCAAAATAAATAAAGGAATCACAACGACGTAGGAATGTGGAGAGGTTCGGAAATAACAGAAGATGAAATAGGAAGACAGATTGAAAGACTGAAAAGAGGAAAGGCACCAGGAGGGGATGGAATCCAGAACGAAGCGTGGATGTTAGGGACAGAAGGAGTGAAAGAAAGGACATGGGAAGTGGTAGATGGAGTCTGGAAGGGAAAAGGTTTTCCTAGGGAGTGGAGAGAAAGTATAATAATCCCATTATTTAAAAAGGGGCAAAAAAGAGATGTGAAGAACTACCGAAGGATCACCTTGCTCAATACGGCATACAAGATATACGCAATGATACTAAGTAGAGGTTACGAAAGAGATGGAAGCAAGGGGTATGTTACCAGACGGTCAGACAGGGTTTAGGAAAGGAAGAGGTACTATGGACAACGTGTACATCCTGCGGCATTTAGTGGGAAGAGAAATAAGGAAAGAGGGTGGACGAATGTACGCATTGTTTATATATTTCAAAGCAGCGTTTCATAGCGTGAATAGAGAGAAAATGTGGGAGTATTTAAGGGGAAAGGGAGTAGATGAACGAAAATGGAAGAAGTATGTGAAGAAACACCAAGTAAGGTAAGAGTGAATGGAATAGAGAGCGAGAGTTTTTATACAAATAGAGGAGTGAGACACGGATGTCCACTCAGCCCCGCGTTGTTTGCAGCTTATCTAGGAGATATAGCTGAAATGTTCAGAAAAGCGCAGACAGGAGGGGTGGTAGTGGGCAAAGAGATAGTGTGGTCGTTGGCGTACGCAGATGATTTGGTGATTGTGGCAAAGAAAAGAGAAAAAATGAAAACAATGATTAAAAGTTTCGAGAAGTACGTACAAAAAAAGGAAATGGAAGTGAATGTGGAAAAAACAAAAATTGTGGCGTTTGGGAAGAAATTAAGAAAGGAGAAGGGAGAATGGGCATGGAGAGGGAAGAAGATTGAACAGGTGAAAGAATTCCAATACTGAGGATATACATTAAAGGAGCAATAACTCAGATGGGGCACATATTCAAGAAATGGTCCGAAAAGCGAACAAAGTGATAGGAATAGTATGGGGAATAGGAGAAGGAAAATTTGGACATGATTATAAGAGAAGAATGATGATGTTTGATAGTTTGATCAAAAGTGTATTTATGTACGGAGCTGAGATTTGGGGATGGAGGATGAAGAAATAGAGAGAGTGCAAGAAAAATACTTAAAATGGATATTGGTATTGGAAAAGTATTCACTGGGGTATATAGCGAGAGAAGAAACAAAAAGGGAGAAAATGAGAGTGGAAGCGGATAAAGGGGCGTTTGGATTTAAAGAGAATTTAAGTGAGAGAGGTGATTGTAAAATATTGCAAGAATATTGGAAAGAAACAAGAAAGGAAGGGGGAAAACATGCTTGGAACAAGAGAGACAAGTATTATGAAGGAAAGGGATATGCATGTGAAGAAACAGAGAGAATGAGGGAAATGGAAAGGAATATGAAAGAAGAACTGAGTGTAAGAGATAAGGATATAGATAAGCAAGAACGCAGATTGAGAATATCGGAGTCTAGATGTAATGCAGAGTATCGAAAAATAGTAAAGGATGAAGTACCAAAGTACACACACAGAGAGAGTATAAAGGAGAAAAGAATGATGGCGAGATTTAGGTGTGGAAATGAAGAGAAAGAGAATAATTTTTGGATGGATGAAACTGACAGAAGTTGTAGGATATGTTAGAGAGAGGGAGAAACAATAGAGCATATGTTGGAAGGATGTGAAGGATTGAGAGAATCGGAGGAAAGTAGGGAAGAAGTGCTAAACGAGGATGGAAGAGGACTGGACTGGATGAAAGAGTATGGAAGATAAGGGAACTAAGGCAAGCAGAAAGAATAGAACAATTATTATTATATAAAACTCGAATATTTATTTTATTTAATTTTATGGATTTATTTGTATTATCTAGATTAAGTTAATTTGTACCCCTACCGGGACTCTTATTAAGCCTGTAAGGGAAATAACAATGGATGTGCATAGAGCGCCCGTATATGGACGCTGTATGATAGTGGGGTATATATTATATTATTCCTAACATTATATTTATCTAATCACAAACAAATAAACATTCCATTGTTTATTTGCTCGTTGTTCTAAATACAGCACCGTTTTTGTGTTCGCTACATTTTTTTCCTTATCTGAACGTACAATTTAATGCAGTTTCAGCGAACTCGAATAATAAAATTCCACGAATACAAAAGAGACTCGGTATTTTTATTTTGTAAACGCAGTAACAGAATCTATGCTTCCATAAAAAATTCATGCAACGCTCAAAACACTCACCTGAAAACTGTGATTGACGTTTTTGGTTGAACACTCAGCTAGGCACAGGTCGGTGAGTTCGATTTCATCGAAAATCACAGCCTGAAAAAAGTAATACTTTTAGAGGAGGTACTTAAAATTAAATGGACCGTAAATCAATACAGTCTTAAAAAAGAAATTTAATTTTAACGGTGTTATTGTACGAATTTTAATTTAAGAACGACGATATTAAATAGAGGAATTTCTTTTATATTCCATTCGGGATCAGTTCGCACGAATTCCGAGAAAAATATTTTCTCGAAGTAAATGTGGCAGCAGAGAAATGTCTCACGAAAGCAGTGAATACAATACGTAATTACCTCGAATTAGCTTTGAAAGACAGGTAGCAGGAAGTGTGGTGATGAACAAGGTAACAATGCAATAAAGTTTTAGCACGCTGTATTAAAATTTTGACATTATTGATTCCGTGATATCATTTAAATTTTAAAACTAAACGGTGTTGACGTGTTCGTGTCAGCGCATCGTGAAATTTAATTAAAAAATATCCAATTTAGATTATAAAATTATCCTGTTAGGGTCACTTCAATTAAGGTCGTTATCAGGGTTATGTCCATTATATTAATGGATATTTGAATCTTTCTGGGTCATCCTCTTCAATATTGTGGGTATTAAATATCCCGACGTCGTTTTACCTACGATGAGAGCACTCAAATTTCGAATTTGATCCCTGCATGAGCTATAAAAATTTTATCACATTTCATTAAATGTCAATATTCCATACGAAATGGTATTTTGATCCTCCTGAATAATTTCATTTCAGATTTATTGACACTTTTTATTTTTCTATACTAAATCCCGAAGTAGCTGTTTTGTTTTGGACTGCAAACGTTTGTTTTTATTACGTTTTATAAAAAGTGGTAATTTGTTACAAAAGCTTATTTATTATATTAATGAGGATCTTTAATAAAGACGTTATATAATAGGGTTACATTTCCTTTTATTTCTTTATATTTTTACAACATCATTAAAATTGTACTGTGGATAATGAGCACTTAAAAACAAAAGAAACATTACTTTGAATAATCTTTCTTTCAAATTTTACTCACTCGACTCATTTGAATTACAGAACAGCTTGATTCACTAGCGCAGTAATTTTAAATGAACGCACTTAATTATCATTATTACCCTAACAAGTTGCAAGCAAATTACACGCTCGTGTGGCAATTATGCTTTTTCTCACTTGTAATGTAAATAACAATTATTAGTGAAACACAAATAGGTATCATTAAAGTGTTTTCAAGTCAGGGGAAGTGTAGACTATTAAAGCAGGAAATTGTTTTTGGTAAAATTAGAAATGAGAGTAAACCGCGTGTTTGGGAAACAAACGAGTAAATAATACAATTTGGCTGGAAAATATCGGTTCGCCTAATGCGTGACGTTTTTCGAACTATAAATTCTACTTCACTACCTTTCTATAAATCAGCTTTATGGATGGAACCGAGAGCCACATAATCGTGCCGATTTTTCTTTCCACTCTAGTTCTTTGAGTAAACGATTCGATGGGAAAGTAAAACCTGTTGTCGAATCCCGAATTAGACGTGCTTGTTGTCTTAAAGTTCATCAGGAAAAACAAGAAAAACAAGAGTTTGCTGGAACTCGGGCTTTTAACGAGACATACTGTGAGCGAAAAATCGAAATGCAGCTTTTTCAAAAGCTGTGTTTAGAATTTCAACATGCGCCACGTGCGTAGGTCAAGTACCCAAATATTTAATTAGGTGAAATTATTTATCAATAACTTTACTTGACGTCACATCGTTTGCACTCGTTAATACGTTTTTGCAATTTAGTTTTTAGGTACTTTTATTTATTGTATAAGTAAACGTAGACATTAGAAGTTAATATATTTTTCTAAAGATAAGTGTTTCGGTTCCGGGTAGGGATCCACATTCAAGTACATTAATTATCCAAATGTAGACTAAATTCAAACGAAGCAACGATGCAGATGTAGACCCCGATTCATATGCAGATTACGGATTTTACAAAGCAGAAAATTCGGATCCGATTCGCATTCAATCTGAATTTGACAATACCTCGATGTTGTGAATGCCACTAATATTTTGCTACGTTAAACTTCGCTACAATTAGATGAATTGGTTTTGATTCACGGTTGGGAAATGCCAACAGTAACACACATCCGGGTATAACGACGAACAAATCAGTAAAAAACACATAAATCTATTTAGGAAACTTCTAAAAGTGAGGATCGGGTAAAATCTCATATCGCAAATTGTATCTCATCGAAGTCTTTGTCCGGAAGTTAAAAATAATTCATTTACACCGGACACTCACTGCAGAATGAAAAACTTCATCAACTCCAACAAATAATGATAACTTATGAGATTTTTTCCAAAATTCTTGTATACGAGGTTAATAAAGCTGCTTTTTACTTATCTCATTTAAGACAAAATTTTTACAGAATTTTGTGACTTGAAAACAGTGGTGAAAACCGCGTCCAGAAGTTTCTATAAATAATTGAGATATTGGTTTCTAAACATAGGTGATGAAAATATTACATTCTGATTGAAAATACTTCTCTTCCAACTTCCCTTAACAAATCTAATAAGTGTAGGGTGCAGTACGCTACTCAGCGTCACGATTTCTTGCTTTCCTGACATGTGGAAACTTTCTATAGTTGTCCCAATTTTCAGAAAAGGTGGATATCTTTACATTATTACAGATCCATATATTTACTTTTCTAAGGTTCTGGAGTCAATAGTCTCCAAACAATTGTGTTTTTAGCTAAAAGGCTTATTGACTGTTAGATAGCACGAATTTTTTACAGGCAGATCAACAATGAGTGACTTCAGTCAACTAGATGTCATTTATCTTGATTGTTCTAAAAGCAATTGATATGGTTAATCATGATTATGAATTGCTATTTTTGAACCTGTCAAGACCAGTTTTTTTCTGAAGGACTGACGTAGTACAAGTTTGAAGGTATATTTTCAAAAACTTTTTTCAAATGATGAAACACCAAGTTAGTGTATTCCTAGACTTTGGGGCGCAAATGTTTTTGTTATCGACTTAAAGGAACACATAAATTATCGCTTTGGGCGGTGGGCGGTGGCAAGCTCAGCCTTGCCTTCATCAAATTTATATGTATATAGTTGATTAATTGTGTTTGTTTTGTATCAGTTGTTAAAAGTAGGCTACGGGAGAGCTATTTTTTCGTATTCTAGGGGTTATGAGTCGTCGAGAAAACGTAGCAGCAGTCTTTAGCCGGATGGACCCTATTCTATTACAACACTTCCTTTTTGCATTATTTATAAAGTTTCGCAAGTTGTTATATGATTTTTGTATGTCAATAAACGAATATTGTAGTGCCTATATACGGAATTTAAATATATATTTTAATACTTGTTGGGTAAATTCAAGAGAGGAAGTTTTATACGAGGTATTTTTGCTTGTGCTTACATTAGTTTATAGAAACTAAAATCAATAATAATGTTAAAAAAACAACAAACTTGACAATTTGCTTTAACAGGCAAAATAGTTTTATAACAAAAATAAAGAACTCAATTTATTATTGGTTAGCATGTTCCACAGGTAACACAAACAAAAGTCTAAGAAAGATCATTTTTCTATAATCCATGATTCATGAACGTGAATTAATTTTACTTTTTTCAGTGCTGTAGACATGGTCTCTCAATTAAAATTCCGCAGCCTAATATCTTGAGAAGGGGTAGAAATGTTGAAATTGTGTAAACGCCATTGTTTTTAGCTTGAATAGCGAAGCAAAATTTTCGTTCACATTCACATTTGAATAATTTGAATTTAAAAAAAAAATTCAAAAAAAAAATCGTTAAACATAGGCTTTGTGCATGTTTAGTTCTTTTTGTGGTAGTTGGTAGTTCGCTGAGGGATTTTAGTTAGAGGGTTGGTTGGTAGACAAGATGGCGGCATGGCGAACCATGGTGAAAGCGTCGTTATTATTGTTTTGGTTCTGTGTGTGGGAGCATGGTGAAAAAGACGCTGTAAGTTAGCTAGGTTAAATTAGTTGGTTTGGTAGTTAATAAAAGGGCGCCCAGTTTTCCCCAATACGCGCAGCTAATTCTTGCGGCTTTCTAATTGAAAAAGGCGAATTTTTGAACGACTCCAACCCGTGTAAATTTAATTCATTGTTTGTAAAGTTTCTGGATGCTAATACGTAAATGTTAAATTATAACGCTTCTTAATTCTTCACACAAGATTGCTAATAGTTCATTTACGGCAGTTATGCAGTTAAAATAATTTATTCCCTTAGGCAGTTATCATCGTTATTATCATCGTTATCATCATTACATCAACGAGGCATTTCCTCACAACCAGTGTTGGGCAGTATCTAGATACTTGTATCTAAATAAAGTATCTAGATACATTTTTGGGTATCTAGTATCTGTATCTAGATAAAATCGAATTTAAGCACAAAATATCTGTATCTAGATACAAAATTAATGGCGCAGATACAGATACATTTTTTATTTCACTTTTTTTTCAGTAGTTATTAGTTGAGTTATACTAGTAGTAATTTTTGATACTTCATGTTGGTGATTTTGATCACATAAACAAAAATAGAGGTAAGAGGTCCACTAACAGTGTTTTGTCAGGGAAATTTTCACATTTTAAATACCAATATTTCCTACATTCTAGCCTTCAGTACTTATACATCTTTTAATATAATCCTGTGATGTGGGGTAATAAATCTAAGCCATGGTAAGATGGTATTTTAAAAACCATAAACCACAATGCACTGTTCACTGCGTTTTACACTTATCGGGGCAATGCATTTTGTCTGTGTACCTGAGCAACCCGGGTCCGGTAGGCCCGCTGGTTGTATTTGTTTTATTAAATAAGAGTAATTTTAATAGTAAAAATATTTGTTTAAGGTATGTTATTATTTTTAGAAAATAATAATTGGGTGTTACATGATGATTAATTTTTTCAATTAGCACAAATTAGTTCTGTAATCGACTAATCGAATGTTCAATACATACATTTCTCTCGCATAATTCGCATATTTGTTGCTGTTTTATACTTTTATTTTTCAGACAAATGTAGCATCT